GTTGCTAATGGAGTCCGAGTCTGGTGTATTTGTCGGTCAGCTGTTGTTTGGCCTATTTTACAGTTTTTAAATGCAGTATGAGGTCTGATGTTTTCATTTCATAGTTTCGTGTGCATATATCACTGTTTTATTGATTATGGGTTGAATGACTGAGAACCCGATGTTGTTGTCTTGTTTGGCATAAATTACTGGTTTGCTTGTTTGTGTGTGATTTGATGATGCTGACTGAGGAAAAAGGGGAATGAAAGGTTAAGTAAATTGATAATTGTATAATGTGGTCAGCCTGACTAGATATCCTGGGAGATGGTGGATGGACCGGGTCCATAGGGAACCCTACCGGGATTGTGGTCTCTCATACCGGACGGGGTATGGAGACCTTATGTGTTTTGGCGCCCATACCGGACGGGGTGTGGGGACAGCCCGTTTCACCCTCATACCGGACGAGGTATTGAAGTTTATAGTTTTGGTGCCCATACTGGACGGGGTATGGGGACGGCCCTGGAATTTGATTACAAGTGTTAAGGGTTCACGGGTAGCGGGACCCCTATAGATCCCCATGGATACTAGTAGACTGGTAAATGAGGAAAAATATGTTGTGTAATGATTGAAATGCAAAAGGCGTGATAAGTATTATGTTATACAGTTCATATGATTTCATGATGATGATAATGTTATTACTTTCATATGTTATTTTATGAACTTCACCGAGGTAAGTGGATAGTAAAGGATTTTATTATTGATAAAAGAATTTGTTGTAAATTATGCTCCATTGGTCTTTTTGTGTTTTCTACCCACCTTTACCTCCGTGACGGTGAGATAGTGTGATGTCTTTACTGGGCTGGTGTAGCTCATTTCTTATTTAATCATTTCAGATCAGGAAGACATTGTTCACGAGCCCGTTCCGTAGGAAGACAACGAAGGGGACGCCTGAAGACTCCGTAGTTATATTTATAGCTTTTATTTTCGAGTTTCTCTTTTAGTTAGTTTGTTCTTTTATACTTTGAGCACGTTTTTTGTTTTGGTGTAAGGGATGTTAATCAAAATTTTTATTACGCTTCCGCATTTGACCTTTTTAATTCACATATTTTATTTTAAAATTCCGGGGCCGTTACAATTGCTACATCAAGATCAAAATACTTTCTACATAAAAATAAAAAAAGAAAAAAAATGTCATGAGTCCTGTTGGATATGATCAAGATGACTTACTTATGTAATAAGTTATGATGTTTCATGTCGCCCTAAAGTCATGATTTATAAGCAATGGAATTTTGACTATATCACTTTTTCACATATTGAGGGTTTTAGAGATTTCATATAAATTAGTGGGAGAACATGTTAATGAAAGACCATATTGTTTTATACATTACATGAAGAGTATTTATGTTATTGATATATGTTTTATATTTCTAGAAATACATCTTAATATATTGAGAGGTACAATTGATATTAATTAATTACAAGGTCCTAACTACTTAGATTAGCTGAAGAACCTAAAAGTGTAGGGATTTTAAATTAAACTAAATCTATATCTACAACATATTCATATTGAATCATTAAGATTAGACATAAACAGAAGCGTACCTAAATCCATAACAGAAAAAATCTGCATGTTCTACGGTAGATCTTCTAAATCAATATGTAATCCTTTCGAGTTCTCACACACTCTATTTCTGCTAACGGGATAACAAAATAGAAAAAATCATACGTATGATTTGGGGAGCATAACTACCTATTTATATTTTTAAGTTTTTATTATTTTAATTTGACCCATCATAAATTAGAAATAACTTTTTTTGTTTCTACATATAAAAGCTTATACTTTATTTAGTGCATTAAAATTCAATATTCGTTTAACTTTAACGTATCACTTTTAAATCGGACTTAATTAAATTGATAGTCATTTATGCACAATAAACTCACATATAAATATGTTAAAGTTCAACGTATGGTACAGAGTAAACTTTACCATGTGTTTGAGAAATATTTTCCTAAAAAGCTACCTAAGATGTCTTAGTAGAGACAGCAACTTGGATAGTATCCAGATTATACACTCAGCCAGTGTAA